CTACATATTTAAAAATCTTCTTCGTATTTTTTTTTTAAACGTAAAAGAAAATAAGTTAAGATCATAACAAAAAAGAAACGCATAAACATGAATTAGATTAATGGCAGTTCTATAAAAGATTATTGAAATTGTTCATATTTTTAGTTCATACATCATAAGACAGATAAAAAAAATATATATTTTAAACACAAATGAGGTTATTGGTAAAAAAACACAAATAAGATCTGAACTCATGTGGAAACTTAAATACAAGAATATTCTAATCACTAGACTATGGCATCAGATGGTAACAAGATTAAAAAATTTGCTACATTCGGCTAGATTCATCAATTCCACCAACACCATTTGATATTTTTTAAAATTTTGCCACTTTCAGCAATTCAGCAAAAAAAAAAACACTAAAGTCAGTTAAATATAGTTAATTTCAACAATTCTTCCAACACATAGTGATACGCAAATATATCAATCTGATAATAACAAATATGAGAGGTAGATGAAGATATTTAAGATATAAAAAAATTATATTCTTTTAAAATTAATGATGATATATATTTTTCAGATATTTAAAATCACTACCAAACATGTAAATCGTGTTTAGATGTTTCAAGTAACTACGTATGATTTGGATAATTTTTTAAAATGGTTTGAAAAACTTGATTGAATATATATTAAATATAAATTCATACTTTATCAGTTTATTTAATTATTTTTTGACAAAAAATTGTTTAACTAATTTTATTTAATTAATTATTTTTTAAAAACAAATCAGCCAAATTCTACTAGATTCAGCCGTTAGCATTTATAGTTTAAGTTATTCAGCTAAATTTTGTAAAAAAATCACCAAAAATTCAGTCAGATTCTGCAATTCAGTTAGATTCAGCAAAATTCCGCTGTTACCATTTAAACCCTACGAAAGACTTGGTAATTAGAGCCCTAAATATTTTATACTACTTGGAGGGCCGACGCTAGGCAAGTGTCTTTTTCATTATACCATTGGTAGTGCCCTAATTTTCTACCAACAAATTTGCCTCCGGTACGAAACAACTATTCTGACGAAAAAACTTGCTCCATTGATCACATGCATGTACTACATAGAATAGTGAAAAAACAGAAAAAGTATAACATAACATAGTCAATATGTATCATATATAGGCTTAGACGTTATCATTTAGTTACATTTTTTCGAATAAATTTGTGTTCGTCTTATTTAAGTCATGGCATGTAGTCTTTCATTTGTTTATTGATGTCAGGAATTTGTATCAATTTTGTAAGAAGATCCAAAGCAAATAAGATGGAACAGAAAAAAAAAACAAATTGAAAACAAAGAAGATAAAGAAAGAGTGAAAGAGAAGAACTTGTGTACATATACGTAGGGCTGGGCATTTTAGTTTATTTTCGGGGATTCGACTTCTATTTTATAGTTATACATCTCAATTTTTTATTTTAAATATATAAAAAGTTATTCATTTTTAGGCTGAAAGCGAAAAAATTTTTATGTTTCCTGGAGAAGATAATTTAAAATTAAGATACTAATTTAAAATGGTGATCAGTTTTTGTTCTAATCTTTGATCTTTACAATATTGGGGATGATATTGATAGAAAAGTTTAAATCTTCAATTTGACATACACTAATGGTATATAATTACATCTCCTCTGGCTTTGCTTTTAATCGGTTTCCGCACGA